AGACAAAAAAGACTCGGAAGGGAGACTTAAAAGAATGCGAAACTCGTCAAATGATAGTGGCAATAGTGAAACTCAAGACGATGAACTGGAAGAGGATGCAGAGGAAACAAGGTGAAAACTTCATTATAAATATACTTAAAAGAATCGTGTTGAAATGTCATATATATTTTTCTAGACCAAGAAAACGAGTGCCTTCATCAGACACCAATCATTCGCAAAGTGCCGATCAATCTAGAGCCCAATCCCCTGAAGATGAATACGCAGGCGTTGACTATAACACTCTAATACCTGCAATTGCAATGGACTGTTCTAGCGATAATGAAAGCAAAAAGGACCGCAATAGCCCTAAAATTATCCAAAGAAAAACCTTGGAATCGGTAAGTCAATGAAAACTTGTTTATTTAAATCATATTTAAAGTTTTTGATTCTAGTTTGGCGGTAGTGTAGAAATTTCGAGAAGTTATAAGAAAGATAACGATTTGGCCGCTCAGAAATTGGGTCAGAATCCTTCGATTTCGCTCAAGCCAAACTATGGAGATTCGTCTTGGCAAGATGAAGCTGCTCCGAGCAAACTCATTTCGAATCCCGCTTTGTCAGTTAGACAATTATTCCCAGGTGAGTTGATAAACTTTTATTGCATTTTAAAGGACCCTGCACACCTCATAGGTATTTGGTTTTCTATCAAACTCAATGAAATTTTGATATCTAGACCTTAACTTCCTGATAAAAAGTTCTCATGGGCCCCAACCAATCCTATGACTACAGTTTATTTTTTTCCAAAATAGATTTCGACAATGTCAACTGTGAAACATAAACAATACCGCTTATTGGTCGCAAAATGCCATTTGCACGGCATGCATTATAAAACTCATGTCAACCTGCAGAGACACCTTATTTTGCGACCAATCAGGGCCAAACGTTATTGTTTATGTTTCAAAGTTTTCAATGTCAAAATCTACTTGGGAAAAAATAGACTATAGTTTTTGAGATAGAGGTAGTTTAAGTAAGAATCATTGTAATTGGCACACACTATATAAACATCCCCCGTAATGTGTTGAAATTTTACTTCATTGACGCCACCCACGTTATCTGCGTTAAGAGGCATGTTTGTGAAAATCGCCGAAACACGTCAACAAATTTATTGGGGGGAAAGGTTTTTGACGTAAAACTAGATCCGCCCCTTCAACCCCTTAACCCCCAGGGCTACCACCCGAAAATTTTCAAATGAAACAGGAGGTCGAGTGATAGATCATTTCAAAGAGCTATTTAATCTGTACATTTTGCCGTCCTATTTTATGAATTTAAGCCCAGTGTTGCAGAATAACATTCATTTCAGTGTTAAAAAGTGCCAATTTATCTTTAAACATATCTGCTTTTTTACCTAAAAAATAGTTTAAAACCTATTCTCAAACCTACTGAATATAACACCTTTTCATTACAGCAACAGCCGCAACAGGTAAACAAGCAGGTGTGTTTAGGGATAGATAGGCATTTTTAAACATTGAAATGGGTGTTATTCTGCAAGAGTGAGGTCAAATTTGAAAAATAGGATGGTAAAATGTACAGATTAAACAGCCCTTTGAATGATCTATCACTCGATTCGCTGTCTCATTTGAAAATTTTGGGGTGGTAGCCCTAGGGCTTAGGGGTTTGAAGGAGCGAAGTCCAGTTTTACATAAAAAAACCTTCCTCCTCGATAAATTTGTTGACGTGCTTCGGCGATTTCCATAAATCTGTCTGTTTACGTAGGTGGCAAGTTTTGAAATGAAAGCCCTGTATAAAATGTGTACATTCTTGGACATTAAAATACCTGTATCTCAGAAACTAATCATAGGATTGGTTCGGGCCCACGAGAAATTTTATCAGGAAATCAAGGTCTTAGCATATTTCAAAATTTCATTCAGTTTTACAGAAAACCAAATACCCATAAGAGGTGTGTGGGGTCCTTTGTTGTGTGTTATTCAGAAACGTTTAATTTGAGCTATTTGGGATTCTAATTTTGCTTGTTCCGTTCAATATATCGAACACTTACTTATCTAGTACTTATACCTTGTTCACTTGCATCAATTGCAAATTGGTATCGGGAAAAAAAAACAATCACATTATTATTAGACATTGAAATTTATAGATCCGTATATGTAAATTTTGACAAGATTAGGTATAATCCTATTTTGAATAAAGTTAAAATGATACTCTTAGGTCGACCTCTATCTGTTAAAGTCAAGGCAGAATTCAATAAAATGAAAATATTGTAGTCATTTCCTGATGCAGAAAAATGACAACTGGTTTTTTTTTTGGGGATTTTTTTTGTTATTGAAATTATCATTATATAATTGATATCAGCGAACCTTCAGGTTCATGTTATTTTTAATGTTTGAATGACATTGACATCAGTAATTATACAAATTCCCAAATTGTTTTGGCGAAATCAATTGGTTTTTGTGAAACCTTTTTTGCTTTGTATGTGGAATTCTTCTTTTTATGGCACTTAAGTTTCGGGATAGATATAACCAGTGAATACCCAAAAAACAGCGGTTATTTCAGTGGTTGGCAATGTGAGCATTCACACCAAAGTAGCGTGCGACATGGGACTTGCTGCTAGAAAGCATTACTTTAGTGCAGTGATTCTCAAACTGGGTTCCAGGAACCCTACGGTTCCGCAAAGGGTCGATTGGGGCTCCGTTTCAATCAAAGAATAATTTCAAAGGCAAAAAGAGTATCTTGATTAAATTATTGAATTGGGTTGGCAATTTGTTCACAGTCCAAATCGAAAAGTTTCATCAATCGCATTTAGCCCATGGAAAATCAATAAAATAGCTATTTTTGTAACAAGTACCTGAAATAAGGGGTTTTAGGATGAATATTTGCTGTTTCCATACGAGGCTGAGCTATTGATATATTATGTACCTACTCAATTCTTGAATTTTTAGAAAATCTTCTCCTTACTTAGAAGCTCAATAAGTGTCTATATTTTGACAAAACCAAACATTATGTCTAATATTTAAGTATGTATATACTTGGGGTATGGGTTTCCGGGAAAAAGAAAAGTGCGCTCTAGGGTTCCTTATTTTCCAAAAGATAGAGAAACACTGCTTTAGTGTGAATGCTCCCTAAGTGCTTTGTGTGTGCGCCTTGCAAATATGTCGCAAACTATCAAAATATATGATATAAAGCCACCCATATATTTCTAAACCAACCATATATTTCTTAAGGTTCTAAAATAAGTAGCATGCTTCTTGCTTTCTAGCAGCAAGTCGCACGTCGCATTCTACTTTGGTACGAATACTCACTTATAGTCAACAACATTGTCCTACTTGAAATGTTTCTGTGTTGTCATAAGACATATATGCACTTCAACTTGCATTTTGTATTTTCAAAAGGAGAACAAAGGAAAATGATTCATTCGGGTGGCATTACGGCCTGTGTAAGAATGTGGTTTGCAAGAAATGTACTAAAATTTCAGCTACTGAAGCTGATACTATTCGCTGGAGCAATAGATCAATCATTTTTTGTTTTCCTAGCGGTAGGGAACTGATCGCCAACCAGGAACACTATAAAAGATTTTTGGAAAATTTGAATACTTTTAAAACTGAGATGGAAGCTAATAGACCCTGAGATAGGGCCTGTTTAGTGGAGTTATTTTTTTTGTCTGGCATTTTGAGGGCTGAACGTGGCTAGTTAGCTGATGAGAATATAAGTGGTTTCAATGCATGCTCTCTGTTCGAAATGTCCACAGAATGTTTTGCGGATTTGCTCGATTTCGAACTATGATTACCGTCTGACGATTATTCAGCGTTATTTTCACTACAAAACCTTTCATTCTCTCGATTGCCAGACAAAAAGTAAACGCGGAAGGTTCTTTTCTTTTCTCTTGGAAGTTGACACTCATCCCCACTTTTTCAGCCATTGAAAAGCATCTGGTATTTTTATTGGTGAATTATTTATCAATGTCAATCTTTAATTTAAAAACAAGGAAATTCATTAAAAAAAAATCTTTATGTTAATCAATTTTTTTCTTCTCCAAATTTTCGAACAGGGGGCAGGCATTAAAATCACCCATATTCTCATCAGCTAACTAGCCACATTCAGCCCTTAAAATACCAGACGAAAAAAAATGACCCCCCCCTTAACAGTCCCTATCTCACAATCTATAAGGATAAATACATTGAAGACCTGCAGCTTAGATGTGATGAGATGGAAGATAGATTCCAGTTTTATTGAACTGCAAAGGCTGTCTACCAAAATCAATGATAAAAGAGTAATGAAATACTATCACTAAATAAGAACATAGTGGGCCTTTCAGGCAAAAATTCTGACTTCATTAACCCTTCCACCTACAACCCGGGTACATTTTGGACCCACGCTCCGAATTTTTGGCATATCTTGTGGATTTGACAGGTTAGCGAAACGCCACTTATAATAGCTGTTCAATATTGCAGTATACGCGTGTATGCAGATTGCTATTCCGAACTCGGCTAACGCCTCGTCCGAAAACAGCAATGATTCGTCCTGAAAACCTTCATTTTAGGTACTTGTGACAAACATAACTATTTTCTAAACTTTGATACCCTGTATCTCAGAAACTACGCATTTCCGGACACATGTTCATGGGAACTTTTTTTCTTAAAATATTGTAAGGAATCACATCCTGAAGTAAAGAACCTTACTTAGGAAACACCTTGTATATTTTTCTATTTTTTGACCACCCTGTACATGCTACTTCAAGTTTTAGTAGTTTAATATTATTTTTTCAAGAAGCAGAAACTTTTATAAAGAATAACTGTTTTTCGTAAAATTGATAATAAAAAAGTTTTCCATATGCTGCGAACTTAAGTGAACACCCTGTATAATAAATAACTATTACTGCTGTATTGATATGGTTATGGAGGAAAATTGGTGCACATTATGTTTTTTTCACTGCTGAACAAAAAATGTCGATATTTTCTCATAGAGGGGCTCAATTTACTTAGGTATTGTCAAGAAACAGAAAAATTCAACATTCAAAAATTTTTTTCTACTTGGCAAAATCGTACCAAATGGGACTTTTAGTATGTTATACTACTAGTCATTATGTGTGCGATTTTAGCCAAAACTAGCTTGTCTCTAATTTGTTCTAGGTCGGCCTATTATAAGCTGCTATGTTTCCTATACTATATTCTCGCATACGAAATTTGACACGATTTCAAATGCTCCCCATTTAATTAACATTGCTGTCAGTCAAATTTCATGTACGAAATGTACTCGAATGAATTTGAAAATCGCACCCAGTAATAAATTTCGCCTGTTGATGTTTGAGATAGTCATGTAGCTACATTTGTTGCTGTTTAGTGAAAGTTTGTGGTAGCAAAGCCAGTTGTGGATTTGTGTTAGGTCTTCCTTCATAGGCGAGTTCATAGGCGTTTGTGAGGCTGTGTGATCGTTTCCAGAATACAGAAAACATGTATCGTCAGCATGTAGGCATAGTTTGGAGTTGAGATATGCAGTTCATATAAACAAGGAACAAAGTGGGTCCCAAAATCGATCTCTGTCGCCTGTCCCATGTGACATCATCAACCTTGCTCAGTGTGTGGTTAATACAAACGCGTTGAATTCTTTCTGTGAGATAGTCCCCCAGC